CAAAAAAATGACCGCCACTTATTCCAGCTGAATCTGAAGATGAGACTATCATATACGAAACTAAGAAGATAAAGAAATAGAATAAATAAAATAAAATCGTAGTATACAAAGAAAATTTATACAATACAATTCAATTAATATTAATATTTTTATATCTTCTTTGATATACGTTTTATATCTTCTTATACAACCTTGTAAAATCTTTCGTACAAAATTTTTTGTTTTTTATAAGACGATGTTCTTGGATTATTTAAATGAAAAGATGACAAAACTTCGACTGAAATCATAATCAAACTAGAGTTATTAATTGTTTTATTATTAAGAGAAATTCCAGAGTACACAAGACTACCTAGTGAAGTCGATTTGGAACATTGATGGTCTGCTTGCTAAAACAAAAATATTGAATCCCACTTCACGTTTACGTTCGTACAAGACCGTGTCAGAATATTGCACATCGCCATCCGAGATCTCTTTTTACGTAAAGGGCGTGCACAACGCTCAAGATATTTTATTGGACTCATTCCGCTTTTGCTTGATCTTATTTTATATATCCTACAAACGAGGACTATGCGCGCTACTATAATAATTTATAATAATATATATTTATATATTACGTAATCTAAATGCTACTTCATACAAATTTCAAGGTACAGGAAGTATCTACAAGTTAGTGTCTACCATACAATTTACGTACTGCCTTTCGGCAAATAGTATTACTCTACGTGTACGGAATATAGAATCACTAAAGGTTACAGCTCTATGAATTCGCGATTAAATTAACGACGCACGGAAATTTCATTACCATGTTTAATGTAATAAATATAATAGAAGAAATAAATATGTATAGATTATAGTGTCGATGATCGGGCTATAGAGATAATATAATGTCTTAAACATTAACATATATGGATATGCATTATCGATTACAGTTAATAATACTGGCAGCTTAAAATACGACGTATAAATTACACTCAACCTAATTAGATGCGAAAGTAGAGAGTGCCTCGTTCACAATTCAAGTACTTCAGTGTGATCGCGAATTTAAATCAGCTCTAATAAGGGAATTAATGCCTTGCTTCGTATACACGGATTAAACAATTAAATCAAACGAGACCATCGGCTAATTTTTACAACACGATGCAACTGGCACTCGCTACTTCTCACCGTAGGTTCCCTACGTCACTACTTAATATTAAGCAAAACTTCTTTTGCTTACATGGCCAACGAAAATTCGCTCACAACCTCTGCGAATCGAATTTCTAATTTGAAAAATTATTGTGACACCACGGACGTCTCATCATCGCGTCTGAGTGACGCGTCGTTGCTGATTCTACGTAATAATAATAGCAAGTTTAATTATTTTATTATCGTTATCGCGCGCGCTCACGCAATACCGCTGACGCGCGTGCGGATAAGGGGTAATTAAGTAACAGATCACAGGTGAAACTAGGCTATCTCTGTAACAAATTAATATCACATGAAAAAATATGTATCGGTTGCATCCTATCGCAAAAATCTTTCGCGAGTGTCCTCGTGGACTCTCGGACGGATGACTCATATGACGAGCCATCGATGATTCAGACTGTCTGATCACTATCATCTTTTTCCACTTTCCTCACGTTTCCGATCACAATACCGTCGCTCGTGTCGTTTTGCGAAAAAAACACTCATTCTTTTCTTCGACTTACAATTTCTTCGCCTCATCTAAGTTTCATAACCGAGCGAACTGACTGTCATACGCTTGCTTAGTTCTAAGCCTACTTAATCACTTATCAACGATGAGACGGACAACTAAACCCTGACTAAATGATTACGATTAGAAGTAAAGTTTGGCATTTTATTCACGCTTGCTGCGCGTATCCAGCCTACAGCCTCTGCGCTACGTTCCTCGACTGGATATTAGGATTACTTTGGCTTCAACGTCGGGCTACTTCTACGCAGCACATTATGTGAGTCTAAATACGCGCATCGCACTTTTCCTTCTTACTTAAATTATACCGTTTCGTAAAGCAGCATTTCTGATCCCATTTGAAAGGTTTCTTTCATAGAATCCGCATAGTCGCGGATTCGAGGAACAATCGTCGGGAAAAACGTCTTCAAGAACGTTCTCGCGTATATACTTCTGCTAGAATCGTCGATCCCGAATTTATTATAGCCTTCATGAGAGTTATCAACGGTCGCCACTGCATCGAACGAGCATCGTACCTTGTTTCAAGTAATTTCGTTCCCCAGACTCTTACAATTTCTAATATCGCAATTTCTGATACGTTTCTCCATCGTGCCGCGATGCATGCGTTTGCCTATGAGGTAGGTTTGCGCGATGTTTTTGAGGAAGACGAAGCATGTAGGACACCGATCTTTACGCTTTCGAGTCCGAGAGGCAAAGGAGGAGGAAAGCATTCACCGCTCCTACTGACTCTAATTTTATTGTGCAATAAAAACTTGGACTATAAACTTGGACTAGACATGCGAAAGTAAAATGTTGTCAAAAAGATGACGTTTGTGAGCAAGTATCCTCACTTGGAGCGACCTGAGATTCCTCTCATACATAGTTTAACACCAGCCTCTCCCAACAAATTGCACGGACCTGGACGTTCTCGTCTGATCGATTGCACTGTGTATTCGTTGAGCATCTTCGCTCAATGTCATCGTTTATACTTTTTTGTACTGTACTTCCCCTAACATATCGCGACGAAGCGATATTCCCCGTCAATGCTATTATTGTCCATTATCTCTGACGCTCTTCGTGCTGAACGGTTCATTCAACCAGAATGCGAATTGATACGGAGGATCTCATGGGTCAACCACGTCTCACGGACTCTCGGAAGACTCCCTTGTTTGAGAATAATATTTCCTACATCTCGTTTGCTGTATCAAGCTTACCGTTCATTCGCAATCACGCGCTTCGGCACTCGTCGGGAAAAAAAGAAAACAGATTATCAAAATCACAGCGCCTTAAATGGCGCTACGATAGATGCGCTACAAAAGCTGAACTATAACCGGATGCAGGAGACACATGTGCTCGGCACCGCGTATAGGAAGACGATTCACGCTGAAATGACGGACCATTTCCGGTATGTTTTCGAACGGTTTGCTAAACTGCCCCAGAATGTATGCGTTCAGCTCTTCATTCTTCTGGATGCGCATGTGCATGAAACCGCGGGCGCTCCTAAAACAACGACGTAATTACGTGAGTTATAACACTCGGAAAAATCCGTAATGTTCAATAAATATTTGTTCAAATTATATATGCAAACAAATATTTATTTAAGTATTACTTACTTCAGGGATAGGG